CCGGCAGGGCAGCTGCTCCCAGGCATTTGCATAGAAAGAAACCCCACCAAGCAGGGAACTATACCAGCCCTTGTCCGGCTCCCCACGCTCCAGCCCCGCAGCTGCTGGACCCAGCCCCGCACTCAGCAGCACCCCAAGCTCAGCCAAGGTGGTGAGCCCTGGTGCATCATCCTTGCTCCACAGCTGGCTGGCTGCGCACCCCTGGATTTGGCCAGTCAACTTCAAATTGGGCTGTTCCACCCCAGATTTGCTTGAACCAAAGCAGAGCTCCCCTCCAACACCCTGACATGCAGTCCCCCTTGGCCAGCATTCAATATCCACTTTGGCCCATGCTTTAGGCAGAGGAGGAAGGGAGAAAGCCCTTATGCATTTATGCCCCAAGAGGAGCCCCAGTTATGCACCCATTGCACAAGGGTAAGGCTCTCCCACGGGGCCAACAAGGGCATCACCATTCCTGCACCCAGCACACCATTCCAGACCTGTTCCCAGCTTCCAGTGTCAGATGTGGGTGTTGCTGGATCCCACTGCCTGGGGCTGTGCACCAGGCTGCACACCCTACTTCTGGTCCCTTTTTATTAATGTCAGAGGACAGGACGTTTCCCTTGCAGATGCACTACATACACACACATGCATATTCTCCCAAAACGTATCAGGCTGGGAGGATGCCACAGCAGGCAGGTGACAGTATGTGAGGGACAAGAGTGACTCCATGGGATGGCTGGGCACAAGTGGTGCATGTTGGTGGTGTGCTCTGGGCTAGGTCAGCAGGGGATCATGGGGACCTCTGTGTTGTGCCTCTTCCATGGGGCTGTTTCCCTCCCCCTCCACCCCAAACAGGAACAGGGGATGGCCATAAGCAGACAGATTTAGTGTTGGAAACCAGACTGTTGCACCCTGCAATTTCCTTACCTCCTTAAAACCAGCTTTAAAACTTAAATTTCAGTGAAAGCCTTCAGCATGTTAATCACATGGAAGAGAGTGGAGAGAGCATTCTGCATCACACTGAGCCACCCCACCAGCCTGACATGGAAGGAGACAAGGGGAGTGATGGTTTTTCTCTGATTGGTTAATTGAGTTATAAATGACTCAAGAAACACAGCACTTTGTGTTACTTCCAGAGGACTCAAGGCTTCTGGGGAAGGTGCAGGGCAGGGTGCCAGAGCCTTCAGGAGTGTTCCCAAGAGAGGGTGGTGGCAGACAGGGATGGAATCACATTAATAGCCAGCTGCTCTGTTAATCTCTGCAAACACCCTCCCTCTACCATCAACTCAGCAGGGTCTCAAGCCTTAAACACCAAAATGAATTTGGTACCTTGGCTCTGCGGAGCAGCCAAGTTCATCCCTGCTCCCAGGGACATCATCTGTACCAGGCAATGCCACCTCAATGCCAGATACTAGTGACAAGTGCCTGAGCATCCTGGCTCTGCAGGGCTCAGAGAGATGCTGAGACTTTACTGGGGAGTCAGGGGGCAGGCAGTGGTCTTTCCAGAGCAGGACTAAGGGCTGCTGAAGGGAGACCTCTGTCAAAGAGGAATGATGGCCTCGCAGTGTCTGGGAAAACTGAGGCTTGGAGGAAGTTGAGGGAGGTACACGAGGACTCAGCTACAAACCATCTCTGTGGCCTCTTGGCATGGTCTGGGACACCCACACCAAGATCCTGGTGGAGGGGAGAATAAAGCATGGGGAGGCTTTCTGCAGCTGGCTCCTGCTGGTGTTCATCAGCCACCCAGCACTGTCAGGAAGGTGTTTGGGAGCTGTGTAGGCAGAGGGGGCCCTGCCTACAGCCTTCCTCCAGGCAGCTCCTGCTGGTTGTGGAAGAGCTGCAATGCCCAGCCTGGCTTTGGGGCTTCCCTTGCAAAGGGAGTTTCTCTGGCATGAGCAGGGAGGTGGCATCATCCAGATGTGGGTATGATGACAGAACGCCAGTCCCAGGACAGAGGGATTCCCAGCCAGGATTAGGGTGCCTCTTTCAGTTTGGCTAATCCCCATCCCATCCACCTTCCACTTTAAAGTACTGGCAAATACCAACCAGCTTCCCCAGCACAGCCACAGTGGGAGTACAGAGGGCCTGGGACACCCCTGAAGAAGAGCCCTGTGCTGGCTGGGGTGGGGATGGTGGCTGTCACTGAAGGCTGTCTGGTGCTGTGTGTGTTTATAAAGAAGTGAGAGTCATGAATAGTTTTGCACTGACTTTTCAAGGAGAGGTTTGCCTCCACACAGCCTCCGCCAGTCGGCTGCGGTTCTGACACATCTCACACTGCCCTGCCCAGCTCCCACCAGTCCTGGCTGCCCTGGAGGAGAGGTACAGCCCACGGGCTTTGAGGCCTGGCAGAGGAATTGATGGCAAACCGCTCCCTTTTCAGGAATCGGCGTTTGAGCCCCAGGAGCTCTGGAGTGGGTGTGCACGAGTGGAGGGGGGTGGCCGAGGGGTGATACAGGGTGAGCCCCAGTCCTGCAGCAGAAGCCGTCACTGTCTCCTTATCAGAGTGTCTCTGCCTACACACGAGGGGTTCCTGCAAAACACAGTGCGGGAAGACCTGGATAATCTCTACAGTGGGAGTGGTGTGGAATGCTCATCCCTCTAGCAGGCTGCCCCGGGTGGTCCAAGGCACTGGGGATATAGGGTGCTATAGCAGACACTACTGAGTGGTGTCTCCAGACGTTTTGGTCGGTAGCTTTGAGGCTGCAGATGGGGAATTCCTGCTAAATCCCTCCCAGAGGCAAACTGCCATCAGAGAGCGTCACCCAAGGGTCAGGTTTGGGCCAGATCCCAAAACTGCTGACTGAGCCTTTGTCCTCTTGCCACTCCACCACAAACCTGACTGTGGACCCTGAGCATTTTTTGATGTAAATACTTTGTTTTGAGCCATTGACACTCTCGCCAGTGGGAAATGGATTTACACCAGCAATGTGCTTTATTCCCAGCGGCTTGGCACATATGGCAGGGGTTAGATATACAGTGTCCCACGAAACAGCTGCAGAAACATTTGGTGGGAGAGCTGTTAACAGAGACACCTCTGTGCCCCAAGCTCTGGCATAAGGTGCTGGGGCTGCCGGTTTGGGAAAGACCCCAGGGGACAAACGGCTGCTGCTCTGCACAGGGAGGAAACGCACCTAAATGGTCCTGTGCAAAGTAACAGCCCATCTAGAAGCCAGCCAAGAGGGCATAGGAGGCTCTTGAGGGCACTTTTCCCAGAATATTCTAAGTTGTAAGGGACCCACGATGATCATCGAATCAAGCTCTTGGCCTGCACAAGACATCTTCAAGAATTAAACACCCTCAGTGCATCTGAGCATGTTTTCCAAATGCTTCTTGAACTCAGGCAGGCTTGGTGGTATGACCACTTCTTTTGGGAGCCTGTTTCAGTGCCCAGCCAGAACCTTTTTCTAATATCCAGCCTCAATGTCCCGTGACACAACTTCAGGCCATTTCCTCGGGTGCTATCCCTGGTTATCACAGAGAAGAGATCAGTGCCCACCCGTCCTGTTCCCCTCGAGAGGAAGTTGTATACAGCAATGAGGACGGTGCCCAGCACCAGCTGTGACTCAGATGTGCACTGGTTCCTGGGCAATCACCCTTTTTACGGACTGGCACCCTGAACAGCGCTGGCCGTGAAGGGATGCTGTTGGCCAGGCAAGGCGGCCCTACGGCCGATGTAGTGTCCACACGGGACATCGCACCCTCGGCCCCCGCGAAAGCAGCGCGGAGGTGTCGGGCCCCACCGCCGGCCGTGTCCCCTTTACGGCGGCGCGGGGCGGGGCGGGGCGGGGGCGGTGCCCGGTGACGCGCGGGGCGGTCCCGCGGCCGGGGCGGGGCCGCTCCCGC